GGAAGAAAGGGGCTTTTGCTTGGATTGGCCTCTTGCCCCCAGAAGATCAGAGGCAATCCCTCTCTACTGTATTTTAGTTTTTGCTCAAACTATCCTTCTCTGTCCTGCATTACAAAAATGGCAACTAGAACCAATATAAAGCTTGTACTTCAGGTTCCTGAGATGGTTTCTAATGGCTCTCTATGTTAATCATAGTCTTGGGCTCACTTTTCCTTCACTTTCTCTGGTAAGGAGCATCTCCTCTAGAAGAATGACTTTTCTTTGAAGGGCACAAATGTCTTTTATGCATGAATGCAGCCCCATCTAGATTGAACGTGTGCACTAATGCACAGCTGGGGTCTGGCTCCCACAGTAATATTAAAAAGTCAGTCACAGATTTCCTGAAATTAGATGTTCACATCAGGTAGTATTTCAGTGGTCTGGAGATATAAATTTTACTAACAGAGTTTTTTGTAGCCTGGGAGGGAAGGGAGTTGGGGAGCTCAAAGCTTCAAATATAGCATTTAAGAGCACTGCAGTGATGATCCCTGCAAAGGGAAGGGAAGGGAAGGGAAGGGAAGGGAAGGGAAGGGAAGGGAAGGGAAGGGAAGGAGACAGCGCTACAGGGGATGACATACAGAAGGTCCAAAATATGAAAAGCCACCTTGAAAATGAAAAATGGACCCATTACTCAAGTCATACCCTACATGTCTTCTTTGGGCACCCTCTTCTTGAGAGATTAAAATAACTTACCAGTTTTTACATTACAGACCCTACACTGCTGGAGGATCACCTTGAATATTTTAGCAGAAATTTCAGTTTCTCATAGCTCCTTCCAGAGTGTATGAGAGCCAAAAACATGGAGATTATCCTTTCCCTAGAGGACTTGGTGGCTTTAAAGGCCAAAGTAAATATCTTAAACCTCATGTTCCCCCTTGAAAATCCTAAGACTCCTCCCACCCCAAACTGGCCCTGGCCCTCTGCACTTTTCGAGTCCATACTCAATATATGGAGCAAAGCTTAACCTGAGCAATGCTGAAGGAAAAGATGCACCTTTAATGTAAACAGAAAGCACTGCCCCAAAGGAGCAGGTCAATAAGTAGACTTAGTATGAGCTCTCCAAAATTCAACTGGGTTAAATGGTGGTTAACCAAAAGCTCAGGCATTACTGCCTTGGTATCTGTATGTAAGCTGTCTGCAGCCCACTGCCCACTCCTTTGGATATGAATCTCTCCATAGAGAACAGGCAATTTCTGACAAAGCCTTCTTATCAATGGTCCAGCTTTTGCACTGACTGTCACCAAAAGAGATTTCCAATAGTGCTCACTGAGAATAGAGTAGCAACATAATTTCTTGGGAGCATCTTGGGAAGAGATTCTACTTTTCAGGTCAGTTAAGTTTCAGGAATCTTTACTGACCAACTGCAACTGGCAAGCTTTTCTTATTCCCCTTGCCCCCAGTATCTGGAGATGGTGATATCCAAGCCTGCACAAGCCTATTTTGGTGTCCTAACTTCTCCTTCATTCCATTCTCAGAGCACATGGAATGGAATCACATGACCAAAGGCCTTTATGATCCTGGCTATCAAGCCACATCACAGGCTCCCTATGCTAATTTTGCTTGATGAGTTAATTACACCCTTCTGTTCATGGGTGGAATTTCACTGCTGTGCAGTTGACGGGTTAGCAAAGGAAGATTTTGATTGCACACTGAGAATCCGCTGACAGCCATCGACCTTGAAGCTGACTTGGGAGAAGCAATGGGGACACTTTCCGATAAAGGACCAGGCATGCTCAGACGCTTTCGGCTGGTGACTGCAACTTGGCTGCTTCATAATGATGCCACCACAATAATGTTAGTTGCTCAGAGAGAGGCCGAAGGGTCCAGGAAGGAGCTGGAGCAGATAATTAAGCATCTGGCCTTCATCATGAATCAATCACTCATTCAGAGCAAATCAGGATGATTTAAAATTAATAAGATCACATTAGGAGTCACCCTGCAAAAACCAGTGCAACAGAACCAATTTGGATCTCTTAATGAATCTGTGCACCCTACGTGCACTAACAGGCACCTGCATGGTAGAAGGAGGCTTGCCAAAATCCACACTTCCATTCAACCGAAGGAGGTTTCAGTCTGCAGTTTCCATACTGAACACCATTTTAGCATCTCATATAATGCAAGAGTTAACCTAAGCACAAGGGACTCATAAACTTATCTCAGGGTCAAGCTTTTCTAATTAGAGGTGGTGAGTCCTGGCTTTTAAAGCCCTTTTCAATTTTTCTGCCAATAATATGGATGGTAGAGAACCTCATCAGTAGAACAGAAATGTTTCCTGGTGGGTGAGCTCCTGCTCTGAATACAAATATTGTCCACCGAGAAGGATGAGCAGAAGATTGGAGAAGCAGCAGATCGTAACTGCAAGCTGCTTCTAGGGAAAGGAACTGAGGCTTCTTACCACTGCTGTCATATTAAAATAAAAACTCAACCACAGCAAAAAAGATATTCTGGGACCAAGGCAGTATTCCCTTAAATACCTGATGTCACAGAACTTGAGCAAGAAGGAGCTGTGTAGACAGAAAGGCAGGACACAGAGAAAAAAATGGCAATCAATATTGTTACTAATATTCATTAATTAATGAATGTTCTGTTTGTGGGTCACAAGAGATGTCGGGTGGGGCACTCTGGAAAGCGTGCTGGAGTGGATCGGCCTTGTTATTACCTAGCCAGGTTTTTTGTATATTTTTGTATGGCTGATCTGGATAGGGGATGAGAGGACCTGAGCCTTTTTCACCCTGATGTGCAAGTGATCTCCATGTGAGTGGAAGCATTAATGATGAGTGGGGAGCTGGAAGGTCATAACTGCAGCCGTCTGTTTTGATAGCGATCCTGTAGTATCAAAGGGATTTACTAACCAGTTGGGTTCACTCTGTATGGTAAACTGTAAAGATCAGAAGCATACCTCAGCAAATGTCTGGCATCTTCCTAATGAGGAGAAGCCTTTGGGAAGAGCTCTCCCACATTCAAAAGATAAGAGAAATGACCAAATAGGTGTATAAGAAGTGGGGTCTAAATAGATTGCAAGCAGTTTACCCAATGCCCTGAGCTACCTCAATTAAAAGCCATTTTCCACAAAACACATTCATTGCATGCAGATGATCCAAAGCTCAGCATCTCCCAATAGTAATGAAAAAGGGATGGGGTGTAAATTAAAGGCAATCACCAGCCCTGAATCCCATGGGGCCAGGTTATATGTGGAACCCCCTCTCCCTGAGGATATCTGCCAGGTCCAATAGGGTGGGTGCGCTCCAGGTTCCTTCCCTTAAATGTTGCCATCTAGTGGGACGTAGGCAACACTCCTTCTTAGTAGTGT